AACACGGTTAAGTCAGTGGTGTACGGTATCGTTTGTTTATTATACAATAATACAAGTCAGTGGTGTACGGTATCGTGTGTTTATTATACAATAACACGGTTAAGTCAGTGGTGTACGGTATCGTGTGTTTATTATACAATAACACGGATAAATCAGTGTTGTACGGTATCGTGTGTTTATTATACAATAACAAGGTTAAGTCAGTGGTGTACGGTATCGTGTGTTTATTATACAATAATACAAGTCAGTGGTGTACGGTATCGTGTGTTTATTATACAATAACACGGTTAAGTCAGTGGTGTACGGTATCGTGTGTTTATTATACAATAATACAAGTCAGTGATGTACGGAATCGTGTGTTTATTTTATAAGAACACGGTTAAGTCAGTGGTGTACGGTATCCTTTGTTTATTATACAATAACACGGTTAAGTCAGTGATGTACGGTATCGTGTGTTTATTATACAATAATACAAGTCAGTGGTGTACGGTATCGTGTGTTTATTATACAATAACAAGGTTAAGTCAGTGGTGTACTGTATCGTGTGTTTATTATACAATAACACGGTTAAGTCAGTGGTGTACGGTATCGTGTGTTTATTATACAATAACACGGTTAAGTCAGTGGTGTACGGTATGATGTGTTTATTATACAATAACACGGATAAGTCAGTGGTGTACGGTATCGTGTGTTTATTATACAATAACACAAGTCAGTGGTGTACGGTATCGTGTGTTTATTATACAATAATACAAGTCAGTGGTGTATGGTATCGTGTGTTTATTATACAATAATACAAGTCAGTGGTGTACGGTATCGTGTGTTTATTATACAATAACACGGTTAAGTCAGTGGTGTACGGTATCGTGTGTTTATTATACAATAATACAAGTCAGTGGTGTACGGTATCGTGTGTTTATTATACAATAACACGGTTAAGTCAGTGGTGTACGGTATCGTGTGTTTATTATACAATAATACAAGTCAGTGGTTTACGGTATCGTGTGTTTATTATACAATAATACAAGTCAGTGGTGTACGGTATCGTGTGTTTATTATACAATAACAAGGTTAAGTCCGTGGTGTACGGTATCGTGTGTTTATTATACAATAACACGGTTAAGTCAGTGGTGTACGGTATCGTGTGTTTATTATATAATAACACGGTTAAGTCAGTGGTGTACGGTATCGTGTGTTTATTATACAATAACACGGATAAGTCAGTGGTGTACGGTATCGTGTGTTTATTATACAATAACAAGGTTAAGTCAGTGGTGTACGGTATCGTGTGTTTATTATACAATAACACGGTTAAGTCAGTGGTGTACGGTATCGTGTGTTTATTATACAATAATACAAGTCAGTGGTGTACGGTATAGTTTGTTTATTATACAATAATACAAGTCAGTGATGTACGATATCGTGTGTTTATTATACAATAACAAGGTTAAGTCAGTGATGTACTGTACCGTGTGTTTATTATACAATAACACGGTTAAGACAGTGGTGTACGGTATCATGTGTTTATTATATAATAACACGGTTAAGTCAGTGGTGTATGGTATCGTGTGTTTATTATACAATAATACAAGTCAGTGGTTTACGGTATCGTGTGTTTATTATACAATAATACAAGTCAGTGGTGTACGGTATCGTGTGTTTACTACACAATAACACGGTTAAGTCAGTGATGTACGGTATCGTGTGTTTACTATACAATAACACGGTTGTCAGTGATGTACGGTATCGTGTATTATTATACAATAACACGGTTAAGTCAGTGGTGTACGGTATCGTGTGTTTATTATACAATAACACGGTTAAGTCAGTGGTGTACGGTATCGTGTGTTTATTATACAATAACACGGTTAAGTCAGTGATGTACGATATCGTGTGTTTATTATACAATAATACAAGTCAGTGGTGTACGGTATCGTGTGTTTATTATACAATAATACAAGTCAATAATACAAGTCAGTGGTGTACGGTATGATGTGTTTATTATTCAATAACACGGATAAGTCAGTAGTGTACGGTATCGTGTGTTTATTTTATAAGAACACGGTTAAGTCAGTGGTGTACGGTATCCTTTGTTTATCATACAATAATACAAGTCAGTGGTGTACGGTATCGTGTGTTTATTATACAATAATACAAGTCAGTGGTGTACGGTATCGTGTGTTTATTATACAATAATACAAGTCAGTGGTGTACGGTATCGTGTGTTTATTATACAATAACAAGGTTAAGTCAGTGATGTACGGTATCGTGTGTTTATTATACAATAATACAAGTCAGTGGTGTACGGTATCGTGTGTTTATTATACAATAATACAAGTCAGTGGTGTACGGTATGATGTGTTTATTATACAATAACACGGATAAGTCAGTGGTGTACGGTATCGTGTGTTTATTATACAATAACACGGTTAAGTCAGTGATGTACGGTGCCATGTGTTTATTGTAAAATAATACGATTATGTCAGGGGTGTACGGTATGATGTCTTTATTATACAATTACACGGTTAAATCAGTGGTGTACGGAATCGTGTGTTTATTATACCATAACAATAGTATGTGGTGTACGGTATCGTTTGTTTATTATACAATAACACGGTTAAGTCAGTGGTGTACTGTATCGTGTGTTTATTATACAATAACACGGTTAAGTCAGTGGTGTACGGTATCGTGTGTTTATTATACAATAATACAAGTCAGTGGTGTACGGTATCGTGTGTTTATTATACAATAACAAGGTTAAGTCAGTGGTGTACTGTATCGTGTGTTTATTATACAATAACACGGTTAAGTCAGTGATGTACGGTATCGTGTGTTTATTATACAATAACACGGTTAAGTCAGTGATGTACGGTATCGTGTGTTTATTATAGAATAACACGGTTAAGTCAGTGGTGTACGGTATCGTGTGTTTATTATACAATAACACGGTTAAGTCAGTGGTGTACGGTATCGTGTGTTTATTATACAATAACAAGGTTAAGTCAGTGGTGTACTGTATCGTGTGTTTATTATACAATAACACGGTTAAGTCAGTGATGTACGGTATCGTGTGTTTATTATACAATAACAAGGTTAAGTCAGTGATGTACGGTATCGTGTGTTTATTATACAATAACACGGTTAAATCAGTGGTGTATGGTATCGTGTGTTTATTATACAATAATACAAGTCAGTGGTGTACGGTATCGTGTGTTTATTATACAATAACACGGTTAAGTCAGTGATGTACGGTATCGTGTGTTTATTATACAATAATAAAAGTCAGCGGTGTACGGTATGATGTCTTTATTATACAATAACACGGTTAAGTTAGTGGTATACGGTATCGTGTGTTTATTATACAATAACACGGTTAAGTCCGTAATGTACGGTATGATGTGTTTATTATACAATAACACAAGTGGTGTACGATATCGTGTGTTTATTATACAATAATACAAGTCAGTGGTGTACGGTATCGTGTGTTTATCTTATAAGAACACGGTTAAGTCAGTGGTGTACGGTATCGTGTGTTTATTATAAAATAATACAAGTCAGTGTTGTACGGTATCGTGAGTTTATTATACAATAACACGATTAAGTCAGTGGTGTACGGTATCGTGTGTTTATTATACAATAACAAGGTTAAGTCAGTGATGTACGGTATCGTGTGTTTATTATACAATAACACGGTTAAGTCAGTGATGTACGGTATCGTGTGTTTATTATACAATAACACGGTTAAGTCAGTGGTGTACGCTATCTTCTGTTTATTATACAATAACACGGTTAAGTCAGTGGTGTACGGTAGGATGTGTTTATTATACAATAATACAAGTCAGTGATGTACGGAATCGTGTGTTTATTATACAATAACACGGTTAAATCAGTGGTGTATGGTATCGTGTGTTTATTATACAATAATACAAGTCAGTGATGTACGGTATCGTGTGTTTATTATACAATAATACAAGTCAGTGGTGTACGGTATCGTGTGTTTATTATAGAATAACAAGGTTAAGTCAGTGGTGTACTGTATCGTGTGTTTATTATACAATAACAAGGTTAAATCCGTGGTGTACGGTATCGTGTGTTTGTTATACAATAACACGGTTAAGTCAGTGGTGTACGGTATCGTGTGTTTATTATACAATAACAAGGTTAAGTCAGTGGTGTACGGTATGATGTGTTTATTATACAATAACAAGGTTAAGTCAGTGATGTACGGTAAGTCAGTGGTGTACTGTATCGTGTGTTTATTATGCAATAACACAGTTAAGTTAGTGATGTATGGTATCGTGTGTTTATTATACAATAACAAGGTTAAGTCAGTGGTGTATTGTATCGTGTGTTTATTATACAATAACACGGTTTAGTCAGTGGTGTACGGTATCGTGTGTTTATTATACAATAACAAGGTTAAGTCAGTGGTGTACGGTATCGTGTGTTTATTATACAATAACACGGTTAAGTCAGTGGTGTACGGTATCGTGTGTTTATTATACAATAACAAGGTTAAGTCAGTGGTGTACGGTATCGTGTGTTTATTATACAATAACAAGGTTAAGTCAGTGGTGTACGGTATCTTGTGTTTATTATACAATAATAACAGTGGTGTACTGTATCGTGTGTTTATTATACAATAACAAGGTTAAGTCCGTGGTGTACGGTATCGTGTGTTTATTATACAATAACACGGTTAAGTCAGTGGTGTACGGTATCGTGTGTTTATTATACAATAACACGGTTAAGTCAGTGGTGTACGGTATCGTGTGTTTATTATACAATAATACAAGTCAGTGATGTACGGTATCGTGTGTTTATTACACAATAACACGGTTAAGTCAGTGGTGTATGGTATCGTGTGTTTATTATACAACAACACGGTTAAGTCAGTGATGTACATGTATAATTCTGTCCTGTTATGGTAACGTCAACTACTTCTTCACGCTTGTATGGAAATAGTTTCAACATTTTGTCATTAACTATAACATATAAATCTAAAATCCAACCCATTGTTGTCCTCCAGTCTTCTTCATCTTCGTCAGCTCTACGCCTGGAACTGTCTTATGTTCCGGTTCGAATTTCTTTGATATATTTTTTGCTTCTTGTCCTGATTTTTTAGTCGCGACTGGAGATTTTGCTTCTTTTCCGGTTTTGTTGGGTTTTTCAAGCAATGGTGAGAGCGCCTTCATGTTGCACACCGCGATACCGAGGGCAACACCGGAAATAATAAGAGAGATGAGCATCACACAACTGTTTGCAATAGACCAGGCGGACATGCAGTAACTACCTACAGCTACACCTGTAACATAAGGATGTCAGTAAAATTTAAATCTACAATGACAATCAGTTAATTGATTAAAATAAGCAGTTAATAATGACATAAATTAATTATTCAAAATTCATTATATCACATGTTATACAGGACACGCCTCTTCATTATATCACATGCTATACAGGACACGCCTTTTCATTATATCACATGTTATACAGGACACGCCTTTTCATTATATCACATGTTATACATGGCATGCCTTTTCATTATATCACATGCTATACAGGACACGCCTCTTCATTATATCACATGCTATACAGGACACGCCTTTTCATTATATCACATGTTATACAGGACACGCCTTTTCATTATATCACATGTTATACATGGCATGCCTTTTCATTATATCACATGCTATACATGGCATGCCTTTTCATTATATCACGTTATACACGACACGCCTTTTCATTATATCACATGCTATACATGGCATGCCTTTTCATTATATCACATGCTATACATGACATGCCTTTTTTTATTATATCACATGCTATACATGGCATGCCTTTTCATTATATTACATGCTATGCATGGCATGCCTTTTCATTATATCACATGTTATACACGACACGCCTTTTCATTATATCACATGCTATACATGGCATGCCTTTTCATTATATCACATGCTATACATGGCATACCTTTTCATTATATCACATGTTATACATGGCATGCCTTTTCATTATATCACATGCTATACATGACATGCCTTTTTTATTATATCACATGCTATACATGGCATGCCTTTTCATTATATTACATGCTATGCATGGCATACCTTTTCATTATATCACATGTTATACATGACATGCCTTTTCATTATATCACATGTTATACAGGACACGCCTTTTCATTATACCACATGCTATACATCGCATGCCTTTTCATTATATCACATATTATACGAAGACATTCCCATTTGTTACACCACATGAAATACCAGACAGGCCTCTTTTTACGTCACGTGTGATACCAGACACGCCTCTTCGTTACACCACATGCAATGTCAGTGATACTACACTCACCCATTCTTTTTACCATATGAAACACAAGACATGCCCTTTCACCAGATGTATTACCTGAAACACTGCCACATGTCTCCTCCGTTGCACAGTACAGCTTTCTGTATTCATAAAGGCGTTTCCCTGGAATAAACAAATCAACTCTGGAAATGAATAACGGTAAGGAACACATAAGTCATCAAGTGTCATGTCATACAGGCAATGAAACACTGTCTACAGAACGAATCGAGGGTAAATTCACCCACAGACATGGAATTGTATTCAATTTGAAGACTTCTTGGTTGGATTTCGGAACCTGGATACAGTATTCAATACAGCAAGTAAGATATGGGTTTTGGACACCTACCTTCTTGATCAGCAGGAGACGCACAAACGTAATCACCACGTAAAGTGATGTTATTTACTTCAGCGAAATCCAGAAACCATAAGTTGGAGCAGCTACAGTCCCAAGCTATTCTTTGTGCCTCCAACGATACGAAACCCAACGCACTGTTGAACAAACCACTAGGTATGGTGGTGAGGGGGTTGCTGCTAATGGTCAACGACAACAGCTTGGTTGTTACTTGGAACATGTCAGACTGAAGGGTGTCGATGTTGGCGTTTTCCAGAACGACGTGCTTGATGTTTGGTACACTGTACAAAACCCCATTCGGTAGTTTACCGTCAACAACGTTACTATTACGAATAGAAAGCGTACCGGAAGAGTGGCCTTTGATTGTGAAATCCATTGCATACAAGTCTAATAAGGTGAGGCTATTGAATCCGAAGCTATGGATGGCACCGCCCTCGATCCCGAGGTAGTTCAGCTCCACTAGATCCGCGAACATTTCGTCCGGAATGTTGTAAATGTTACAGTCGATAATACGGAAGTCTTTTATGTAATACATGCCAGAAAGTGCACCTGCTGTTAGTATAATAGACCCTCCGGAATAACAGCGAACAACCAGACTAGGGACTATTCTGGAATCAAAACCGCTAGTATCAATATTGAGGAAATTGGAAAACGTTGGGCCAACTGGAGCGGAGGCAGCAAGCTCGCCCGAGAAATCTGTGACGTGTAACACCTGGGGAACGTTGTCAAACGTTGTTGCGTCCAACGGGAAGCTGCACGTTCGCGCGGAACATTCGTATTTTCTTTCAGAGGCAAAGTATGTACAGCCAATAGGATCCGCAGCCTTTGAATGCGTTAATAGTCCAGCCATCAAAATAATGGAAAAAATCATGATTTCAAGATTCATTACCCAAAACGTTATTCTATTTTGTGAAGTCGATTTCGAATAGTTTGTTCACAAGAAAGAAACCTTAGTCAATATGAATGAACGATTTGACACGAACATCTTAAACAAAAATATTCATGGCGTGTAAATATAACTCCTATCGAGTCTTCTCTAGTGGTAACCGTCATAAGATCCTGATTATATCAAAACAATCCTTTTAATCCCTAACTAATCTCCCGCCTGGTAGATTAGTACGATTAATGTAGGTTTTTTGTCTTAAATTAATTCCAACAGAAGTTATTTTCTTTTATAAATATTGAAGGATGAAAAAACAACATTGTGGAAAAACACAAAACAGGATCAGGGAAATAAGTGCTTACTAAATCAACAATTATGTAGAATATGATAAATAAACAGTATTACAATTCACGTGCAAGAGAGTAAGACAAAAACAAGAACACTCACACCAACAAAATATTGTGAATATTGCTAGAAGCATTAACATGTCGAACATATTGGTTTTGTAAGAGAATTTTAAATCAGTTGTATTTCTTCTGAACGAGTTACAAAGCTGGTGTTCCACATGGTTCAGTTTTAGGGCCACTGTTATTTCTTGTATATATTAATCATCAGACACTCTTTTATCAGTTGCTCGTCTGTTCGCTGATGATACCGCTTTGGCATATTCTACTAAAAGATTAGCAGAAATGGAACAAGATATGAATCTTGATTTAGAACAGCTAGCACCTTGGTCTGCAAAATGGTGAATGGATTTTATCAACAGAAAACTGAATCAATATTACTATAATTTTTTTACCTTATCCCATGAACCAAAATTTAAGTTTGACGGAAACTCGATTCCGATAGTCGATTTTATATTTATATTATACATAATGAAGAAGCCACAAGGAGACCCAACCTCAAAATTACAAATTATATGGATTGATCATATATATATAATTACAAATTATATGGATTAATCAAATATATATATATATATAATCAATCCATATAATTTGTAATGTGATCAATTATTGGGTCTCCTTGTGCTTCTTCATTGAACAACATACTGAATGTCCGCCGCAAGCCATCCGGAAAAAGCGGGTAAAGTGTCTTGCCGAAAGACACATCCACATCACAGACGGGTGCTTTTCTGATCAGATTCCCGAAAAACAAACCGCTATGTATAGGTATAGTCGACCTGAGAGTAAACGGAGCGGGGGACCATTTGATCCATCCCACACTGTAGGCAAGATAGGTATTATAAGCCCTCCGACTATTTTTTAGATTTAATTCTGGTCACAACCCTCAGTACAAGCTATACGGGTATTTTAGATTTAATTCTGGCCACAACCCTCAGTACAAGCTATACGAGTATTTTAGATTTAATTCTGGTCACAACCCTCAGTACAAGCTATACGGGTATTTTAGATTTAATTCTGGTCACAACCCTCAGTACAAGCTATACGGGTATTTTAGATTTAATTCTGGTCACAACCCTCAGTACAAGCTATACGGGTATTTTAGATTTAATTCTGGTCACAACCCTCAGTACAAGCTATACGGGTATTTTAGATTTAATTCTGGTCACAACCCTCAGTGCAAGCTATACGGGTATTTTAGATTTAATTCTGGTCACAACCCTCAGTACAAGCTATACGATACGATACGAGTTTCGAGTGCTTTGTTAGAGCTAAAAGAATCTGGGCTTTGTCTATATTTGGGTGCGAAGACCTTATGACGGGGATATTACAGACGTTGAGAGGATAGGTCACCTTACTAGCTCCGACTAATGGGACTTTGACAATGGTGAGGCGTCCGCCTAGATTGCAAGGTGTAATTAGTTTTCAACTGGATCGGTATTTTTCATTACTCCGTCCCATTACAGTTTGCTTGTCTTTAGAGCAGATAACTTAAAAAATTTAAAAAAAAACCCCAAAAACAACCCCCCCCCCCCCCAAAAAAAAAAAACCAAACAAAAACAAAAAACAAAAACAAACAAACAAACTTTTATTGTACTTACAAATAAAAGCCGGTAGGTGTACGTGAAAGTAACATGAAATTGTCCATTTGTTACTCTGTCAGTATGTCAACATTTTACAGGACACATTTCATCGTTCACTAGAACCACTAGTCTGACATAAGACTGGCCAGGTCCAATATCACACCTTATTTCATACAGGTGTTAGGGAAAGTTTGTATGAATTTGTTATCATTCAGGATAACACCTGGGCATACATACTACAGATGGTGTGTGTGTTTATCATTATTTATTATCTGATAGCAACAATTACGATGTTTATTGTAAACAACTTATCACATGTAACAAAGACTCAACCGGAAAAAACATCTAGATAAAATAAAACACGTCTCCCAAATCTATATGATTTAACAAGTTATTAATAACTTATTTCAGGTCTAACTCATTTCGATATTGTCGACCGCATTATTCTACCGACCATGTCAGGTTTTGTGTAATACCTTGTTGGTTATTAAGCTCTATAGTTAAATACTGATAATGCGGCCCGAACACTGTAATACCCGGCCTACTATAAGTATGTCAACACCTTACAATAGACGGACACAAGAGAACTTTAATACGATTAATTGATAATCAGACAATAAAATATTGTTAAAAAACATACCAAACTTTGTGTCACTGTTATGTTAGTTGAGGGTAAACTGTTTTACACTTGGCAAGCTATAGCACGGCAGGCAGTAAACTCTCATTTTGGTTTATGATATGAAGGTATGGACAAGTATAATGTCTTAATGCTATCTGAAAACGGAAAACGACAGATTTGAAAATGACTCTGGGAAAGATTTTGAAATACCTGGTTCTATTAACTGGATGTTTTGCGTTGGTGTTCGGAGACCCTCAGGCATGTACATACACAGAAACAACCAATTCCTACGAATGTAATGCACATAACTGGGCTCTACCTCTGCAACTGACACAGTTCAACAACACGCCACAAGTGCTCTCCCTGGTACAGGTAAATGGCGAGCTCCCATCGTCTGCCCCGAGCGGGCCAACATTTGATGGATTTGAAGGGATCGACAACTCAACCTTTGACACCAACTATGTTCCCAGTCTCCACATCAGATGTGCTAGCACCGGCCAACTTATCCTTACTTCCGGTTCTTTCTCAAACATGTCCTATATTAAAGAACTAAGATTTTTTGACTGCATGATTCTAAATCTTGCTGATACGGTTTTTAGCGAACTCGTGGAATTGAACTATCTAAGCTTTGATGGAGGATCAGTTAGCAACATAGGTTTTGACGCTTTCCTTGGTTTGAACATCTATCCTATGGACGTTCCAAACCCCATGGGTGCTCTTGCCTTCAGGAACGCACAAATAACGTCTTCTGGGCTTCCGAACGGTGCACTTTACAATTTAGTAAACATAACAAAACTGATTATAGAAAACTCTGCTTTGCGCGTGCTGCAACCCGACATGTTCAAGAAATCGACAAAACTTACCTACATTTCGCTGGACAAAAACCCATTTACAAAAATCACTGAAGGTTTGTTCGCGGACCTTCCCGCTCTGACTGTTGTGAGCATGCGCAGTATCAGTTGGGATTGCACGTGCCCACAGCTTTGGTTTGAAGATTATTTCACAACAAACAACATATCGATGATTGGTGACATTATATGTGACACTCCGTCTGATTATTACAGTAAGTAGAATTTTATCTTGAAATCCTAAAATCCATGTGTGTAGTGCATATTATTTACAACACCAAATAACAAAGCTACACAGTGCCTTTACCACAACGGAAAAAGCGGAAATGAGTGGTATAACATTTAATATCTGTTTCATGATAGAAGGGAAGATTGCCGTATTTGTATTGTAGTATGAATATGATGCCTATAATAGATAACACATTACGTTTCTTACTAAAGATAACATTTCATGTTCCAGACAAACGTTCGAAACAGTACGACCTGGAGACTTGTGTCCAACCAGATGCTTGCGGAGATGTTCCTGGTAAGTCCTAAATACAGTTCGACGCCAGAGAGAGATGGTCTCGCACTGAAATTACAAATGTACACATAATCTGTGTACGTGAATGACAAAAACATGTTAAGATGACAATATCACAATAGGGTTAATCGCGATGTTGAGAATAACACGCTACGAATAATTTCCTAGTAAACAGATACGATATCAAAATAAAGATGATATGGAAAACTACGCTATCATAAATAGAAGAAACTGGTTGATAAGAGGGACGTAACATGGAAAACTTATTTAGGATAATATCCTGTCGAGGGTAATATGATAATGTAAGTAATTAAACTGTATAACATTTTTGACGTAATAAAATCCGTTTAATCAATATCATTTGATGATGGATATAATAACATGTCAGGACATTGTAAACATGTGATACAAATATTTACAGTAATGTTATAAAAACTGGAAGTCAGGCCCTGAATTTAACATTTTTGTCAATTGCTGAAAACAGCAAGTGCCTTAAATTTGTACTTGATAAAATGACTTTTTACTTGCTATTATCGCAAATCTCCATGCTCAAATAATGTGTTTTGTTTTGTGATTTATAATGTATTACCTTGCTTCATCCAACATATATCTACATTATAGAAGAACTGCTTTGTCCCAATATTTACACTTTGAAAAACAAAACTCAAAATAATTTAATTCTGTGAAATGTTAGGAGTAGACAGGCACTCACAGTTTGCATCTGATGAATCCACTTGCTGAAAAAAGCATGTCATTATTTTTTCTACTTGCAATTCTTGGATTTCTAATTGCAAATAGCCAGTAAAAAGCCTTATATTCGAGGCCTGGAAGTCTCATGCAAATGATCTGATAGAAATCAACTAAGCTTAATGTAATTGTAGGGATTGCAAATGGAGAGACCTGTGTCACCTACTGGGACATAACAGCTTACTGCCTCCACCCTTTCGCCGTTGTCATGGCTGCTGTTGCCCTGGGTTTATCCATCTACACCAGACGGCAGCTTGATTTCGTCAAGGAAGACCGTCAGGGAACACGGCCTCAGTTGGGCCTCCGCAAATTAAGTGGCTCTGGATGGAAGGGTGTCGTCAGCGAAAAGCCTACTGGCGGCCGCACCAAAGTAACGCCGAAATCACTCGCAAAGGAGAAAGACAAACAGGGCGACAATAACCCGAAGAAACTAAACGAGAAACAAAACAACGATAGTAGTACTGAAAAGGAAACTAACAATAATGGAGAGACCTCAAAATTAGAAAGCAAGGATAAGTCTGACGTCATACAAAATACTGACGTGGAACTGTAGCGTTTTGAAGGAGCTACAAATAATTACTATAGTAAGGGTAGTTACATATATCTTTATGGCAATGCATAAAATATGTAACATGATTATTGAGCAGTTGATATTTATGTGTCACGCACAATCCCATACTTTCTTTCTGACATAGAAGCGGGAATTGTTCATTAGAGCGAAATCCAGACTATATATCGGAGATATTACAGATAAGATTTCTGAATTCGAAGTGAAACAATTGCGTTGGAATAAACAAGAAAGTTCATCAACGGCAAAATCTATCATCCGTCTTATTTGGTGGTGGGGGTTGTGGGATGGAGGGGGATGGAACCTCCGTTCTATGTTTTGTTTTTAGAGAGGGCGAGGGGTGGCTATTTTCGGGAGGGGAATCTCATTTTCCGAGTCTTTTGCGGCGGGACCTCATTCTCAGTTTGTTACAATATTCGCACTCAATGAAATACACATTGCAAGATTCGAGATTGCTTTTACTGTAAGTATTGAGTTAGTGTGATTTATATCCCGATATCATGATATATAGAAGACATTGATTTTAAGACATTATATAATAAGCCAGCCATGGCACAGGGAATCTAACATCAATATAAACAGACCTACATACAACGCCAAACATATTCTTCTTACTACTCATTACAGACGTCAGTTTGTCACCTACATTCACAATCATTATTCATTGGATAACTCGTTTTAAAAATCTGGTAGGCTGGTAATGACATATAACCAGCGGCCAGTTATGACAACGACAGTCACATCAAATGACTCGTTCATTAGACACGAAAATATCACAATATCGTACATCGACATGCGGTAGATTCCGAAATCAATCAACACAACAATCACATATGTAGACATGCGGTAGTTTCCGAAGTCAATCAACACAACAATCACATACATAGACATGCGGTAGTTTCCGAAGTCAATCAACACAACAATCACATACATAGACATGCGGTAGTTTCCGAAGTCAATCAACACAACAATCACATACATATGTAATGGCAATTAAAGTATAAGAGTTATGTCCCTTGAATATGACTTGTGTAATGGAAATTGAAGTATAAGAATTATGTCCCTTGAAGAGCGTCCTACTAATGTCAGGAATTCCTGCCAATGAATGGCAGGAAAGTCAGGAAATGGCAGGAATGCATGTTAGTGGATTAAGTTTGTGTTTTATGAATTAAAATAAACAATTCTAAGTTAATTAAAGTATTTTACATGTTATTTTAATGTTTTACAGATTTTATTATATTTTAGATTGCACTTTGAGAACTAATGTGCAAGTCGTGATAAGTAGGCCTACTACTATAGTAAGGAATGGCGACCGTCGATATTCATGGTAATATCGACACTTTATTGAAATGATTTTTGATGATCAAATATTTGAATTGATGTCAATGCAGGTGATCCTAGGAAGATGATATGGGGTTTATATAGATCTATTTGAATTTAATTATGTTTTCGTATTGTTTACCAAGATATAGATCTACAGCCAGTAGGCTACGGCAGTACGGTAATCCTGTCATTCATGACAATCGACTCGTCCGTGAATCACTCATGTTCCTGGCTATCATATAAGTCTAAAATTGTGAGTGATAATGCCAATGATGTAAAGAATTAAATTTGATTTTTCATTTTAGAGAGTACAGTCATGTACAGTCACCTAAATCATCTGTAGTATATCGTGTATTGTAGCCTACGTATACGGCTTTTACCTAGTAAAGGGCGATAAATCTTACATGTTAACAATCATTAATACTAAATATGACACTGAAATAAAGTGACAAAACATGTGTAAGATTCTATATACCGGTAAAGGTATTAATAAACTCTTATATTGTGATAAACTATATTAATCTTGTTTACTTCCCCTGTACTTTGCTTTATTAGTAAAATACCTACTAGATCTAAAATACATAGAAACAATTTATATTGAATTAAATCTGCATTCTACACATTAAACATGTTGACTGAACTGAATAAGTGTAATTGAATGTGTAACATGAAACTATAATTTACAATATAATGATGCATTATAGGGGAAATATACAGGATAATTAAATCTCTGTAAATATATAACAGGTCAGTAAAATTACTTTATTGATATTGATATTATTAAATAGTGCATATATTTTATGTATACAAAACAATGGTTACTTTTCTAGACATTTGTGTAGCCCTGAAAAGGGCTGTTTTGGTTATTTTATTATGCAGTTGGTTTGCATAAAATTCTTCTGATCCTGTTGCCATACTTGATGATTCTAGTGTTTCTTCTATCTGATGTGGGTGTCTGTAAGTGGACCTGGTCTGGTAAAAAATCTTGTGGGTACTTGATGTCATCGAATGTGATGAAGTCAGTGCAAAATTTCTTCTTTAGGAGCTTGTTTACTTGTTTTCTTTGTCTGTCAAAGCTGTCTTTTGTTAACCCCGGAGATTTTGTGAAGTTCCCTCTTGTTAGTATTTCCCCAATAAAAACACGATGAACCCCTATGTTGTGGAAATGTGCAACTAGAGTGCACATTCTGTCAAAGATGTCCCTTGGTGTTGATGTAGTTGTTATGTCGTTACCGCCTATCTGTATAAATACTGTGTTGGGTTTGTGTCTGGCAACTGTGTTGAGTAGTTCAGGATCCATTCTATCTGTACGAAGTCCCCCTTCCCACAAAATACTGTGCATACTCCTGGAACGTGAAGATCTCCATCTGAAAACCTCCTTCGTCGTTCAATAAAACTGCTTCCAAACAAGACAAAAAAATTTCCCTTCATTTATATGATTTGATAATTATTGACCCATAATATGATTAGCTTGGGATAAGTGTTCACTTTCTTTTTTTTAACTTTTATAAACCAATTATTAAAATGATACATTTAGGTGTCATCAAACATCATGTATTCAGCTTCTAATGTGTCATTATCATGAGTGATTGTTTATTAAGGGAAATCAATTCAGGAGTTTATTGATTACTAAATAATAACTGGTAAAGCCATGCATGCACTGTTGTTTGGACAGGTGAGACACTCCTCAGGTGAGCTGTCAGCCACTCTTGTTTATTCAAGTGATCACTAATAATTGCTAATAGGTGCGAATTTGTTGTCTGGCAGTATCCGTTGCTTTTATTTAGTGATTAAGTAATCAACACTGATTTTTTGAATACTTTTTAACATGAATGAAAACAATTCAGTAAAAATTATATCATATAAATATGGGCATTTCACTCAGTACAAATCATACCCATTGCAGAACCCTAACAGGTAACATATTGTTCATTTCTTTATATATTTTATATATATAGTGCTTTTTTTCAACTGTGTACATAATTAAGGTAAAGTATTGATTGTGTTATTTTTGTTTATACTTTAGTGCTGTCAATTATGTCTGTCCTTGTAGCTGGTGATTCGCAGGCAAAATATTTTGATAGTTATCTTTCTGAAAATGATGGTGCTAAGGTGTTGTTTAGGAGTTATGGGAAAATAGGAAATATTTGGGGATTGATCAGGGATGTTGTGTGTCATCATGATGTGCTGGTTATTCATAGTGGTAAAGACAATCTGTCGGGTGGAGATAGTGTTTCGGATATTCTTAGGTCATTTCAAAGTCTTGTTGAGAAAATTTGGCATGTTCATCCTGATATGCACATAGTGATATCAGGAATTCTTCCAAGAGGGCAAAATTTACATGGGAATGTTTTGGTGAAGCATTCATATTTGGAGGGTATAAATGATAAGGCTAGGCAGATTAACAGGGCTTTGGCAACAATTTGGCAAATATAGGCAGTTATCATTCATAGGTCATGGATATTTTTCGCAGGGAGGATTGTTGAAGAGGTCATTTTTAAGTAGAGATGGACTGCATCTTAGTGTAGATGGTAGTTGACAGGTTGTGAAAACGATGATGGACTGTGTTTGTTTTGTCAGGAAAAGATTTATTTGGCCTTGTTTAAATTCAATTTGGGATCAAGAGTGTGAAATAGTTACTAGTAGTTCAAAAGAGGAAAGTTCAAAAGAGGAAAGTTCAAAACTGGTTAGTTCAAAACTGGTTAGTTCAAAACAGGTTACTTCAAAACAGGTTACTTCAAAACAGGCTAGTTCAAAACAGGATTGTTCAAATCAGGATAGTTCATATTATTGCAGCTAAGTTATCAATTGGTTTAGATTGTTCTGTGAAAAAACGTACAATTAATCTGAAACAGTTATGTAAGAATTCACACAAAAAATCTGACAAAAAATCTGGAAGAAAAAGACCTCGTGATCTGGATGAAGAAGTAATACCAGCCCCTGATTCAAAAGTAATGAAATTAGTTAATAGTGAAGACTCCATGGACACTGAATGTATAAAATCTAAGAAAAAGTTACAATTTGATGAACAACCACAAATTAAAACAATAACTCCAAATTCTTCTAGAAAAGATCCATCTGAAATACAAACTATTATTGAAAACACAATAAATAATACTCAAATTTCTTCTGAAACCGTTAGGTCTGAAATACCAGCTATTATTAAAAAAGAAACAATGAAAACAATGAAAACATACATAAAATAGATCATACTACAAATACTCGTACAACTACATGTAAACAGCTCAAATTACCTGTCAAAAAAAGAGATTTTCCAAACAACAACAAAAAACCTTGGGTAGGAACTCTGAAAAAATGGCACAAAGCTAAAATTGAAAATAATGGATGGTTATGTTCAGATATAATGGAAAATGTACAAAGTATTTTATCGCGTCAATTTCCCACTATCAATGGTTTTCAACATACAACATTTGCACCAGTAAAAACATATGAAGGAAAATGGACAATGAACAGTGAATTCCAACCACAAACATCTCCCTCAGGACAGATACATCATAATGGTAAACAACACTGGGTGACATCAGTTCAGTCTCAAGATGGACAAATTTATGTTTTTGATAGTTTACAGAGTGACAAATCAGACAATACACTATCTGACTCATTACAAATACAACTTCCTTCAATTTATGGACCTTGTAAAA